TGAAAATGTGTTGTATTTATTTTATATTTACAACGCTCCAATACAGCAGCAATCATTGCAACCACATGCCTGCCTCGTCTCACCAAATCACTTTCGTTGCCGGATTTGTTCAACAGCTGAACATGTGTCATTGTCTTTCAGCTTTACACAACAGGGAGAATTTTCACAGTATGTTGTCTTGATTTCTATTTAAACCCACAAGTTTTCATTCTGAAAAGATCATTGGACAAGATGCCTCGTCATAACGAAAACACCACTTTACTGCCGAATGGCGCAATCGAAACAACATTCCAACTTGTTCTTCGTGCGTGTTGCTTTTTTCATATCTTCTCAACTTTTCATTTCATTTCTCGCTCCATTTCTATTAGCAAACACCATTGATGCACCTCAAGCTGCTGAAAAGAGGCGAACAACGTGAAGAACTGGCCAAAAGACCACGCCAGCTGCAGGGACTGCCCCAACAACCGACACATCACAAACTCACGGTCGCCAACGCCAGGCTGAACTGCCCTCTTTACCAACTGAAGACCAGAATCAACCGACGCCCACTGGTACTACTATTGGGGACCGTGATGCTCAACTTCCAGCAATTCCAGAAGCTAGTCCAGTGGTGTCAATTGCCACTGATCATATACAGCCAGGTGACTACATTTGCGTTATGATGCGACACCTCACAAATATTTTGTGAAACAGATGTCGCACCATCAACCACGCCACTGAACAATGACGATCCATTTTCAAATGCACCAGCTGCCCCCAACGGTAGTTCACCCCATCCACCTATATACATAAAATATGCTGACTTCCTTGTTTAAGATCATCAACCTGAGATGCCAAGTTCTCCACTCAGTGCTGAGTCATTCACTGCACCAAGTCCGTCTGCATCACAGCTCAATAGCCCCGGGCCAACTGATCGGTCCCGTGGCTCTCCAAGGGCTGGTCGTCATAGACGGCCCCAATGCGCACCAGCCAGAAACCGGAAGGGCAACAGGGCAAACGATATATGGCCATTTTTCGCGCTAAATGATGGGGGCCATCAATGTTGCCTGTTTTGCCGGTAAGTTATTTTGATCTAAACTGTCTCATAAGTTCTCATGATCGAAGACAACAACATGCAATCAATTCGAGTGTAAATGAGATCTCATTCGCCTCTACAACAGGCACAAGCGCCCTTTGCAAACACCTTGCTGATTACCATATCAGTGCTTGGGTTGAAGGATGTGATCAATTGGAGGTGCCGATTACCGCAGCTGCTGTCAAGTACCAGGTAACACAACATCGACTTCGGCAAGGATCTCGACAAGGACAACAAACCCATCCTGACAGCAACACCCCTCAACCTCAGGCATTTTCGCAGGAGGCTTTTGTTGATGCACTTGTGGAATGGATTGTAGCAGATGACCAAGTAAGTTATCTTGAGCTTATTGGCCTTCCAAACTGAAATTAATCTAGTCTCTGAACATAATCGATAATCCGCAACTCCGCCAAATCTTTCTCATGCTTCGAGAAGATCTACGCGACTCTGATATACCCCACCGCTCGACCATTCGTGCTCGGATCATTGAGGTTTGGGAGGACCACCTGGATGGCCTAGAGAAGGAAATGAAGGTTTGAAAATGCTTTTTGTTTCAAAGATGTTTCTTTGCTGATATGCATTGCAGAATTCTCTTGGAAAAATTTCCACCACAATGGATATGTGGTCTGACACGAACCTAACACCTTTTATGGCAGTCACAGCCCACTGGATTGAGACGATGACAGTCCAAACGCCGCAGGGGCCTCAGCACATCCTCAAGCTTCAATCGGACCTGATTGGATTCCAGCGCTGCCCAGGTCGCCATACTGGGGAACATCTCACTCAGGCATTCCTCCATGTCCTCAAACAAATCAAAATTACCTCGAAGGTAAGGAAGTGTTGTCGTTCTATAAATTTACGCTCATTCAAATTTTTAGATCGGCTGGGTCACCCTTGACAACACATCAAACAACGATACATTTATGATCATGCTTGCCGCGGAGCTCCGGGCACTGCGCATTCCTTTCGATGCCGTGAAACACAGGATCCGGTGAGTGTATCATCTTTCAAAGTATGGGTTGGTGTTCATCAATCACAAAAGTTGTTTTCCTCTCATCGTCAATCTTGCGTGCAAGGCAGTGCTTGCATCAATTACGGAGCATAGAGATGTATTTTCTGATTCTAATCCTGTTGCAAACATTCGCGCTCTTGTCAATGCAGTACGTTTGTGCATGATGTGGAAGTTTTGGGATATCTTTTATTCATTTTCTCAGATTTGGTCATCATCGCTACGGCGCCAGTACTTCAATGAGATTGTGAAGACCATGCACCAGAAGGAGCTCCAGCTTCTCCGTGATGTTGATACACGTTGGTCGTCAACCTTGCTGATGATTGCACGTGCACTTGAACTCGAAGCGGTTTGTCTTTGATGTTTTCCAATGATTCTTTTCGAATTAATCTATTTTAGGCCATCACTAAATTTCTAAGTACTGCCGAGTTTGACGACCTTCGTAAATATGAGCTTAGTGATTCAGAGTGGGACGACCTTGCTCTAGTTAGCGAAATTCTTCTGGTAAGTTAATTTTCTGGTAGATTTTCAGAGCTTTGCGTTACATCATGCTTTCCAACTAGGTTCCACATGTGTTCCAACAACGCTTATCATCAGAGAAGACACCTACCCTCTGTGACACAATCCCCTCATTCGAGGCAATGGTTCAGAAGTGGATTGAGAAGCAGGAGGAAGATCCTGAGACAGACGCGATAATTCAACAAGGCCTTAACAAGCTCAACATTTACCGTGAGAGGGTGAACTTGGTTCCTGCATATGTTGTGATGATGAGTAAGTTCAGTCAGTTTGGACCCTTGCAATATTTGTACTCATGAACATCAAATCAAGTACTCACTCCGTCAATGAAGTTGCAGCATTATACTAAAACTGCACCTGAAAAAGTCGCATGGGCGAAGGAGTTGTTTATTCATGAGGTAAGCAATTGTCATTCGTCAACAATCATATACCTCACCATTGACTTTGACAGATGCAACCATACCATCATGCACGTACTCGCACTCCACACACTACTCCCCAGCCTGCAGCTCAAGATCCCCAGAACACACCTTCTCGGCGGCGGCGAGATCACTCGCGCTTGGTGTTTATGGCATCACCTGATGAAGTGCTCAGGTTTACTCAACCGTCCGCTACTTCAGAGCGCAACCTGGAGGATGAAGTCGAGGCATATCTTCTAGATGCACAGACAGGTATGAGTAGCATCCAGTACTGGCAGGCAAGTCTTGTACCCTGAGTTACATTCACGGCTTGCACTTGCTCACGTTCTTTTAGGAAAATCAGCTATGCTTCCCTACATTATTTGCTGCAGCTTTAGATTTTCTGCCCATCCAAGGCTCAGCAGTCCCATGCGAACGTGTCTTTTTTTCAGCAAAAGAGACCATGGCACCTCGTCGTAATCGCATCAACGCTGAACTGATGGAAGCTTTGCAGATGCTCAAGTTTGCCATCAATCAAGGATGCGGGCTCGATTTCACCTCTGGAACAAGTAAAGAATCAGAGTTACAGACATTGGAGTTATCTATGAGTGAGGAGGTAACAGTTCCGGAGGACATAAATGCATTTATTCAGTCCCTACTGATTGTGGATGACATATGAATTCTATTTTTTGTACCGCACCCAAATAGGATGTGAGCCGTCAGCTTAGCCGTAGCTGAACCAAAGCCACCCTGAACCAGCCAGTCGAAATACAGCTCAGCTTGGTGCCTAAGCCCTGGATACAGGAACTGATGGGAGCCAGGCCAAAGCTGAGCTAAGCTGAGCTGTGGCAACACTATTGAAATGGAAGAGTGTTTGGTTCAAATCGGGTTGGAACCAGGGTTGAGTCCGGATTCAACCAGGCTCCCATACTAATATAGTCATCAATAAATTTAGTGATCGACCGATGAAATGTTTATAAAGAAAAGTGCATCAGTCAAGGATTGAACCAAAAACCTCAGGCTCGTGGCCTACATGCACAAAGACTACAAATTGGTAGTGTAACATAACCATTCCACTACAGGACCTATTAGAAAACTCCCAAGGCCGCTCATATATCCAATCTCTCACTCAGACTAAAGCAAGAAAATCTTCCAGTGCTGTAACATAGGGGAGGTTTTTTCCTAATTAATGCATGGCTCTTTTCAATAGAATACAATTTTTTATGAAATCTATTGTACTTTGTTTAAGCCATTGGAATGTCGTTGCATTACAATTGCAACCAAGTGTCAACAAAGG